TTGAATGAGATGAATTAGAGCAGTTGATCCACATGCTCCATGTTGCAACAAGATTCTGATATCGGTCATATAAGCAGGCTAAGAGTTCCTCTATTTTCATGATGTTATTAAGTTCAGTGAACTACTCTGTAGCTTGTGGAACTGTGGTTGACCTCTAATGCCCTGGGATGAGCGTCCAACCGACAGAGGAACTGGTGAGAGACTTTCCTTATTGGTCACTGGAGATCCTGGAAGAATGGAGGGCTCTTTTTTTTTTTGAGTTTCCGGCCAAATTGCTAGTTTTTTTTAGGGGGATAGGGGATGTGTGTAGTTTAGATTATGTTCCCTTTTTCATTGTATTGTTTGTGTGTTTGATCCTAAAGATGTGTTCTATGCACTGCACACTGAGCCAGCTTATAAGATATTCATAATCTTTGGGATATTCATGCCATGTTTTTTTTCAGCACAGTTAGAGCTTTTTTCTCTGGTAATGTATTAAAGAGACCCTGTCACCAGAGCATGTATTTCAACTATAATCTTCCCATAAGATTATGAGCATTTTACATATTTTATACATGTTATTTAACTGTAAAAATCTTCCCTTCTGTAGACATCAAAAAGGCCCAAGCCTGTTGCTGGGCACCACCATCTTTGGTGTGTTGTCAGGAGCTCCAGCAGAGCTGTTAGTTAAATGACACACCAAACTTTTTTTTTAATAGAAATGCCATAACAAACTTATGTATGGCGTCTTAAAAAAAAAAAAGAAGAATAACTGTGTTTTACTAAACTTTATTAGCTCCTAGAGCAACATAGATTACACATTGCAAAACCTTGACCTGGGAGTTGAATCTTGGTCTTGTCTTTTAGTCTTGTCATTTAGTACAAGAATTTTGCTTACAGACAATTCATTTCTTGCATAGTTGTTCCCCAATACCACTGGATCCTGAACTTTGGTTATGTGGCTTTGTGGGGAATAACACTTTTATGAAATGTCTGTTTTCTTGCGGGAGTCCCTTTTTCTGACCTGCAAGCTTCATCCTCACCATTGGATCTCATGGCTTACTTCCAATTGGAATGATTACATAATAGCTGTAGATGCTAACTTATCTTGCATATAAATGTGATATGAAACCAGCTTCATGCAGGGAAAATTCAGAAAGCATGGCATAGAAGGAATCATTTTCCCATCAGTTACATTATAAAAGAAAGTGAGTTATTTTTGTTTCTTTCATAATCAGACACAATCCATCTTCCGTTTTAATAAAACTTTTGGTGAAACCTATAAAGATAAAACAAAACTCTAGGCAAATGGCTAAGTACATAGTTGAAATACAATGGATTTGTAATTCTGTTAAGCCAGTCATGTGTTTCACCTATGGCTGCCACACTACATAACCTGGAAGATCACATTTCTTTTGCCCGGTTTAGCTTTACACGTGCCCAAGTTATTGCCTTGCTGATTGGATTGGGGGGGATACTTTAATGTATTGTCCAATGAGCATGTTAGTGGCAACATAGAGGTAGCATAGTAAACCAAACCAGGAAATAGCATTGACTGACTGCACTGCGGCAAAGGTGCGTGAATTGCAAAAACTTAGTGTTAAGTTCAGATGCTTTAGCAGGTAAGAATCATACATATATGTTTTCATGAGAGCCAGTGAGTCTTGTCATGCTTGTAACAATTGTAGATTCCTGGTAATAAACCTTTTTTTACATTGAGGTCCTGCCTGTTGAGTGCGGATTTACATACATTGGATATATGTATTGGTGGTTTAGCTAATGAATGAATTTGTAAGCAAACTGTATGACTTTGCCTACAGAATTGTGAATTTCCAATACTCATCTTTTTTTCAGGGCTGTTTATTTAAAGTGTACCCAATTCAAATTTCCAATGAGGGCACCTGTTTCAGTAGCAACTTTTTAAAGATTTCCCTTCACTTAAAACTGGCCACACACAGATCATATGTCATCTGTTTCCTGCTGAATTGGACAAAATGTGGTCAGCGAGTGGCCCTGTCAGCATCAACCGGTTTAACAAAGGTGTTACATTGTTGCCCTGATGAAGGGTCCCTGCGTGGCCCCGAAATGTCGGTTATAATTATTGCAACATGTATGATGATTTGTCCGATTAAATGGACTTTATCGTTTAGATATTTTCCACTGAGTGCTGGTGATTTCTGTTCATTTCCTGTTTGATGTGCACTGAGTATCACTGCGAGCACCATTATTCTGATTCGGGCCGAAGATGCTGTGAGGCGTGCAGGGAGACATATTGGACTTTAATACAGTTTTTTAAAATCCAATTTTTGTCAAAGGAGCCAGGAGGAAAATTGTCGGCCTAACAGTGACCACAGCCCCTCAGCTGCAATCACTGTGACGTCACGGACATCGACTTCACCGGACTCCTCCCCCCTTCCCCAAGTGGCTCCGTCGGCTAAAGAAGGAAAGGGGGGAGGAGTCTGGTGACGTCGATGTCTGTGACGGCTAACGAAGGGAGGGGGGCCAAGGCATTGGTCTATACACATGCAGCGCAGCAATGAAGTAATAAAATTAACTAGGATCACAGTAATCCAGCACGTTATTATTCTGAGTTGCCCCACTCAAGCGGCAGCCATATTAGTGTGATCCTAGTTCATTTTATTACTTCATTGCTGTGCTGTATGTGTATAGGCCAATGTAGTTGGATCTGTATGTGCGTTATCATTAATCAAAATTAATCGATTAATCAATTTTAAAAAAATTTGATTAATCGAACACGAAAATTTTAATCATTACCAGCCCTAGTGTATTTTATACTTTCGCAATAAAATACCATAGTTGCATTTGTGTGCTGCTTTTCCATATGTGTTCAATATGTGGTTTCTACTACTTTTTTTTTTACTAATGAAGTCATTGCTGTGCAGAATGCGAGGATAGGATTTAGATCATTTGGGCATATATAATTTAAGCTTATTTTTCTGAATGTCCAGTTTCCCCCAGACCTGTGTGCCTTTTTTTCCCGTTTGTTTGCAATATCCATATCAGATGTGAAATCGCACCTGCCCCGCATACCTACACACTATTAAGCAGGTCCTGCTGCCAATAGCTTGTGCCCTGGTGCCAGCTCCTTTGCTTGGCAGGTCAGCGTGCGTAGTATTTAATCTCCTGGCTGGGAATATGTGGGCCTTGTGTTCCCACCAGAGCTTCTGTACACCAGCACTCTGATATCCAGGCTGGGCAGCCCGTTTACTTTACTAATTAGGATGATTCCAGGAGTTATTAGCACAGCAAATCGTATATGTAATATGTAACATCAACGTTGCAGGAACGACCACACCATTACCCTCTCACCGCACTCTGTATACGACCAGTTAGGGAACACGGGAGAAATGAAAGAACAGATGGGGAGATGAAGATAGGAAATAGCCACAAGCAGTAGGGAGGCTGTAAAACTAAAAAATGTAGACGACACTGTACATTGACTACCGAGGTAACAATATTGTGTGGGAGAAAAGGGAAGATGAAGATTTCATGAGTAACAGAGTAGATGGTATAAACAAGAACAATTATGTGTACCATCTAAGAAAAAAAGAAGAAACAAGTGAACAGAAAGTATATGAGAATTCACTTCCTAAATCTGATATAAGCTGGATCATTGTACTGTACTTTCAAAAGTTTATTTTCAATATTTTAAAATCTGTCTCGTTCATTAAATTAAAGTGGAAGTAAAGACAGTTTTTTTTTTTTTAAGTCCCCTGGAGCTTTTAGCCATAATGGCATAGTATGCACAGTCTATCAGCACATTAAGGCAGACTTACCTGCCAAAGCGATCCCCCTCCAGTGCTGCACTCCTCCCTCACTGGCGTTTCCATCTGCTCTGTGGTATTCTTCGCGGTTTTTTTTGTTCAGCTCCATGATTGGCCAGGCCCCGATGACGTCGCTCTCGTGTAAGCGTACAAGAGTTACTTTATCTTTGCATGTTGGGTCTGTGTGCTGAGCACAGGAAAAAAATTGCTGACAAGTAGAAGCTTTTGTGGCAGAAGAGACTTACACAGTCTTTAGGAACGGTAGAATCAGTCATATGAGGACTGCATACAAGGGATCTTTATTATAATATTAGGCCATGCAATACTGGATCAGATGTTTGTCAGCTTCAAAAAGTAACGAGTACCGGTAACAAATATAAATTGACAGGTTAAAGTAAATCTTACAGTGAATAGATGCACTTTAATACAGACCTACTTAGACTTGCATACCTTCCTTTGTCTCTGCCTGCTGGGTGTTAAAGGAAAACACTGTGTAAGTTGACAAGCGCCACATAGCCCTTATGTACTTCCAGTATGATCATACTGTTACATACTCTATGCTTCAAAGTTCAGGTACCTGGCGCTGAACGGAGTGGCAGGGAAGTAAAGAAGTGGGGGGATATATTCTGTTGAGGGTGGAACCAATGTATTTACCCCAAATGGGCAAAGCAGAGGTTTGCTTTATCTCTAAAATGACCTGACATTGCGGTAGGTATCAGCAGAGTTGTAGAAATGCAGAATTAAAAGCTATTCTCATGTTAACAATGATTGTTTAGCCTGCAGGGGCATAAAAAGAGCAATTTGCATGCCATGCACTCCAGTTACTTTCATGGGATGTTGGTAAATGTGCCTTAAAAATATGGAGCCATTCAGGACCATCAGGGTAAAAAAAAAGTATGGACACTTTAATTTACAGTATATCAACTATAAAACATAAAGCTTCTAGTCTGCTCTGTATGTGGGTCTAATTAGTTGTCGCTGCTTCTAGCGAAAAACATGAAAGGTAACTTGAAGAACATTAGGACAATAGGGCACAGTGAGGGGTGAGTAATTGTGTCTGATTGCAGGGTTATGGAGCTATTTACCTCAATGCACAACAGGTTGATGATGAATATGTGAGCTCTGCTGAAATGTCTCTGTGACTGAAGCTGTGTGTGGCACGATGGCAGGAGGAGACCAGAAGGTATGCTGTGCACACATCTGCAGCCAGTTTAAACTCTATCTTGTCTCTGTCAGGGAGAAGTTCCAGTCTGCATGGGTCCTCAGAAAACTTTGCCTTACCTGATCCTTTCTATGAGCAACTTCAAAGCTCTGGTATGTGACCCTGTGTGTCTAGACGTTGTATTGTGTCTGTTACCAGGTGCTGAGCCCTTGTTTTAACGTTTGTGTGATTGGATCCCTTGACTCCTCAGTGAAGGTGATCCATTGCTCCATTAACCATTGCCATTGCCGTCCGCTCAACCCGCTTTACTGTAGCACATTAGATGCATCGTATCTGCGATCTGCATGGCTTTACTCTTCCGCCCATTGAATATGTTTTCATAGTAATATCCATTGCTAAATTTTCATGTTTTCTTCAAAATGTGTATTTAACAACATTAGGAAGTGTTTTGTTTTTTTGTGACATGCTTCTGCTTTAATGCTGGTTTAATGACAACATTTTAACTATATTAATTTGACGAATAAGAACGCTTTTAGAGAAAAATGCTCTTATTTTATTTTTTTTGCTTCCCTCACCTGTCCTAAACCACCCCACCCTCGCCCTCTGCAGATCTATATACTTACTGAGATCAGAGAACTGCTGCTCCACTTTTTGTTTACATCCAGCGTTACAAGTTTCCATTTCTTGGCTGTGTTGTTTTTCTGCCGGCTGGAAGACGGCCTCTTAGAGGTCTATGGGGCTGTAATGTGCAGGTTTGACCAGCAGAGGGAGAATAGCAGTGCTATTATAGTGGAACTGTGCCCATTGGATCTTGGTAAGTACGTATCTAAGGAGGGGGAAAGGTATTGTTGTTTAGGTCAGCAATGGGGGGCAAAAATGATAAGTGCACTTTGTTTTCAAATGTACTTATCCTTTAAGAATGTATTTTACAGGCATGGTGTTCCAACTAAAGCAGATATTTAACTGACTGATGTGGTACATATATAATTCTATATGCTGGCAGCAAAGAGCTGTGCTGCAGCCGGGAAGGATCCTAACAATATTGTCAGAATCCACCCAGCTACCTGATTGACAGGTGGCTCTGCCCACTCCTTCCCCACTCCTTCTCCCGTCCGTCCCCCCTGTCAGCTCTGGAGGAATGGAGGGGGAATCCCTGCGGGGAGCTGTGACTGACAGTCACCACTCTATGCAGGGAGATGATCGTGAACTGATTGATCGACGTTATGCGATCGCTCAGTTCTCGATCAATAAAGCCAATGTGTGACAGCTTCAGTGTCGCATGTCGGCTCTAATTAGGAGGATGAGTGTATTTCACTCTTCCCATAATTCTCCTTTAAACCCTAATTGGGAATAGACGTTAAACTCCTATATTCCCACATTGCTAGTAAAGTGTGGCTTCCAACAAACAGAGGTGATATGACCATCAAAGCCTCTACATGTCATAGTCTGCTGTTTTTGTGAGCTAAAAACATCATCATAGTAGTGCAGTCACCATTACACTAGACAAGGCCCGGGTACTTTTTTTAAAATATATATACACCAAATTCTAGAAGAGTTGAGGTAGATCAGTGCAGACAGCAGTTGTTTTTTTCTTTTTCTGTACTAAGCATACACATTGTACACTTTCTAATCAAATTTAAATGACGTGCTAAATCACCTGCTGGAATAAAAAGGCATTAATTTAGGGTGGCATTTAATCTTTTACTTTAACTAGCAGAACATACCTAGTCATTACTCACTGTGAAGCTATAATTGAAGAGGTAGAAAAAAAATGTTTACCATAAAAACATTGCCTGTTCTGTGAAAAGGGCCACCGTGATGCAACAAAATGATCCAGTTCTGTGAGGTTTATTTTTATAAACAGAATAGTCTTAAAATGAAAAGCCCAGTGCCCCTAATATGGAAACGTAAATATAAAGCATTCTGACAAATATAATTAAAGCTTGTTTTTTTTTTTAAATTATTATCTCCAGAGCATTGTTGCCGCCATAGTAGCTAACTGACATTCATTATTCGATCACTGTCATAGGCTGCCTATGGATATTAGAGAGTGGTCAGACATGCAGGGATAGTCTGATCACCCTTGTTAGAGCAAACCTTCTGCACAGCCCTCCCTTCAAGGTTGGAGAGGAGTGTGGAAGATTAGAGAGGTACAGGCATACATTCCTAGCCCCCCCCTTATCTTGGAGGAGAACCATAACAACTGGCCAGCACAGGTTTTTTAAACTGTTGGATTAATGTTCCCTGAGAATCCACAGCCAGAGGACATCTACCTGCCATTATAACATATGAGATGGTCACCTAAACCAGCTGAAAATTGCATGGTCAGGCAACTGTCATTTCATGGCCATGGGCTCCTTTACTCTAGCACTCATACAAATAGGTTTTTGTTACATTCATTTATTATTGCATTTTTTCCTAGACATTTGTAACTACGTGTTGCTTTTGTATTTGTGCATGTTTTCGTATGAACAGCAGGAGCGTTCACCAAGAAACTTCTAAAAGTTACATCAATCGTAAAAATTCTAATTCAGAGGCCAGCTGCCATTTGCAGTTGTACCCTGTCACTACTAGACGCCGCAAGTCTTCTGTGTTGAATTACGGCCAGCCTTACTTAAACTGCTTCCTCTGAATGCAGGCCGTTATGGCCACACCCCTGGGGGGGTCATTGTGTAACCTGTGTTTATATACTGCACTGCAAGTGGCACACAGGTTATTACATGAGTTAATAGCAGTAGTAAAGACAGCCACTTGAGGAGAACAGGAATCACCAATCATCAGGCAGTACTTTTTTTTTTTTCTTTTTTTAAATAAGCATAGTGTTGCACTTTAAATATATGGACAGGTAAGTAGTGAGTACACATTTATAGGAAACTATTTTTGTTTTCAATTTGTTTCCCTAAGCTTAAACACTGAATTAAGCGCACCTAAAAATTTCCATATTTGATACCTAGTGGTTGCAAACATCTATACAAGCCCAAACATTTTTTATTTTTTTACCTGGATGTAGTGATTAACATTCACAGGACATATTGGTTTTTTAAAATGTAATTTCCACATTAAGTCAAAATCTCTTGTCTGATTTTCACACAGATTGCTTCCAGTTCCTCACATTGAGTAGGACTGGGGGCAGTTGGAGTCACGTGCTGATGAAGCTTTTATTGCAGTTTTTATACATGTTTACACTTAAACATGTCATATGTGATAAAGGATTGCCAGAGAAGTGTGGGCTTTCTAAAAAGAGCACACAGTGGAATTTTTTTTTCAGGCTGGCTGTCTCTAAATGAAATCTTGGATGAAGCCGCACAGAGGGAGAAGAATGAGCTACTGCTCAAACACTTTTTACTTGTGCTTGCGTGTATACAAATTGCAGCTTAAGCTATTGAGCTCTGTAAAAGAGGCTTTTTACCAAAGGTGGCAAACAAATGTGAAAATGAGCCTAAAGTGCTATGTCCTGGCTGGATAGTAGCACAAAATATTAACATACTAAATATTATTGGTTAGTTCTTACCAAAATTATTAATATATATATAAAATGACTATTGTTACTTTAAATAATACTTTCTGTAGTTACCATTATATATGAATAGTCAGACTTCCATGTGCCAATAGGAAGGCATTGGAACAAATAGGTAGTTTCTAGTTAAATCCACTTTAAAAATCAAGACAGCAAGTGTAAAGACATAATGGAATGAATAAAACATTGCTACCTGTGATCTTATCCTTAGCAGTATCTTTTCCCATGCAATTCAGGTACCAGATTCTTGAAGTGGACTGTTCACTAAACGTACAGGTCTGCATGAATACATCCCTGACTTGTCACAATATTCAGTAGCAACATGTTTTAAAAAAAAGCTGTACCTTTTTATTGTCAAAGGGCAGATCTAGTCAAGCCAGTCAAGTGAGGTTGCCAAGGCGAGACAATGCCATCAGTCTGGAAGAAGCCTTTCTTTAGCCTCCTGTTCCCCATTGAGCATATCTGTGTAAATTTGTAGCAAGGCCTAGTCCGCACAGGTGGCCAAGGGGTATTAAAAAACAGGCGATTGATCCATGTTTTTCAGTGCTTCTCGGCTGGCCACTGACAAGTTGGCACTGCAGCCGGACAGTGCTCTACACATTGGCATAACTGTATTGCTTTGCTTAGCTGCATTTCAAAAATTACACATGTTGCTGCCTGCCAAATGTGACATTTGCTGTAAATGGGCCTGGGATGCACCTGGGGGCAGGGATCCCAACCTGAAAAAAGTCATGTCAGGGAGGTGCCCTTCTCATTTCAGAGCGGTGTCCTTTGCCAAAGACCGCCCCCACACACACACAGACACACACCATCCGCGCGGATGGGGGGAGCACCCCCTGAAATGATGGCAGATAGCAAAGAAGCTAATGCTTCCCCTTTTATCTGCTGTTTTTTTTTGTCTTGTTTTTTTAGTATTCTGACATAAAAAAATACAAATAACACACAGCATAGGAATGAACAGCTAGATTGCTATTGGCTATTTCAATTTGCAACAGTCAATAACAAGATGGCTATTGCACCTGCCCTCTGCTGCTGTCAATCAGCAGAAGAGGACCTGATGGAGAACTTCAGGTACACCTCTGCTGATTAACAGCAGCAGTGGGTGTGTACAATAGCCAGTCTGCTATTGGCTAATGCAAATTGAAATAGCCAATAACAATCTAGCTATTCATTCCTATACTGTTTTTTTTTTCTGACAGCGGCCCCGACGTAAAAAAAAAACAACAAAACACAGACAGCAGGGAAAGGTTTACTCTGCTAGATAGAGCAGAGTAAACCTTTCCAGGAGAAAATGTTTCTCTCCCGGATGTCCGGGAGCCGCTATATTATAGCAGGAGACTCCCGGAACGTCCAAGAGAGCTGAGATGTCTGTGCTTGGTACATGGTTGCAGCACTGTAGTTTCATGTAATACCCCCTTTTGGATTTAATTTAAAAAGGCAATCAGAAAGTGACAATATCACCTTCTAAATGTCTGGAAGTGGCTGCTCTACAGCCTAAGGATGGTAAAGTCTGCCACTCTTGTGAATGCGGCCTTGGTCACAATGTGAGAGGCTGCATCAGGGGCTTATCTGTGTTGAACTCATCCAAAACTAAACAGGTGCTAACATTTACACGACTGTTGAATCTCTGAGTGG